GACATAGGCTGTCATGAAACACTGAAAGTTTTTACAAGTGATATTTTTTAATATCTGTCAAATCATTCATATCTATCAAAAAGGTCAACAAAGACTGTGTAGAAAAATCCCAATCCCTTCCAATCCCACCCAAGAGTAAATAGACAAAGCAACATCAAAAGAGATGTCTAACCAGATGTTTTGAAATATCCAAAATCTCGTAAAAAATAACTAAATGCCTACTACTCAGTGGAAAACCACTTGTCAAACCAAGAAGTAGGAAAAGCTCAATGTGTATGAGGAAAGACCCTCCAGAGACACCACTTAGTGCCCAAACGACACAAATGTTAGTCATCTGACAAAAATTTTACATCAGTGAACTTGAAGACTGAACAACAGGATCACCAATCTGAACACCAAAAAGAAATTATGATTCAGAAAATATTTTAAACAATTATAAATGCAAAATGTAAAAGGACATACACTGATATCAAGTTTCTACCTTCACTCAAACTACTGGGTGGTCGTAAAAGTTATGACATATTTTTTCCTATGTTATCTATGTTTTTCAAATAAAAAATACACTTTTCTGACAACCCCACAGTAAATTCTGAAACCAGTGGACTATAACATGTTATGGATATACAGTGTACAAGTAAGTATTACTCCTACAGTGTAAAACAAAACCAAAAAAAATCTTTAATTATTTTTAAATATGTTAACTACTAAAACACATAACATGACAGGGAGTTCGCAACTGCCTTCAGGGGTATGCAAGGTCACAACCATTTACCTTTTTCACTCTGAGGCTATAAAGATTAAAAGGCGGTAGAGCACTCATCTGATGAGTGCATTACTGAGACTATGTGCAAGAGCAGATGAGAATAGGTCTTCTGTTAGCTACTCAAGAGATTAGCAAAATGTTCAAAAACCACATTCTTACCCTTTGTTTTAAGACTTTAAAAAGAAACTGTTTTTTAGATTTCTTAGTTTTAATTTTCAAAATGATAAAACTGATATAAAACATAAAAATAAATCTTTTGTTTCTCAGTAATTTAAGCTTATAAAGGAGTCCTAAATTTGACTATCTCTGATGGAGAGCAATATATACTAACATGGAAAAATATAAAATGTGAGAATATGTTACACTCAGATTTTTTTAAAAATGAATTTTAAATACCTGTAGTAAACATAAAAGTATGGATAAGGTTATAAGAGTACTGTTATTCTTTACATAAAACCATTTCCTCTGCACTATTATAATAAATTCCAACTACTTTTAATAAGTATAAGCAATAAATCCAACTTCATTTTGAGAAATAAATGTAGTTACAAAAATGTACAGTTCAAAAACACAATAATACCATATAAGAACTTCTAGTAGCAAAGAAAACTGATTCTTAAAATAGTTTCTTAAAATTTGTTTTAACAATAAAGACTATTTCTCTAGAGGACTAAACTGAGATATCACTCCCTCATCTCACAAGCACACCAACTCACTTCCTGATAAAGTTTTGGACACTCAGGATGAAATCGCAGAGCCCGAAGAAATAGCTGTCTTGCACTTTCTGAAGATAAGCGATCTTCCATCTCCCATTTGGCAGCCATAATCCATAAAGCTACAATTGATAAACATCAGACTTCATTTCAATAAATTAAAACAAGTCAGGCAAGAAAAACACAATGCTCCAATTTTAACATTCAAAGGGTTTTTTATATATATATATATGTCTGTTACCAGAAGAGGAAGGTGTTTCTAGTGGTTATTAATGAAGTATTGCTGCTTTACCTAAAATTAAAACATTCTGAAGATCATCTGTATATACCTATGTATACACATTACTACTTCCATCAGATCAACATCAGTCTCATACAAACTACAAGACATCAGTCTCATACAAACTACAAGTATTATGATACTAGAAAAAACTACACACCTTAGTATCAAAATTATTGTTTTTTCCATATTTAAA